TACTCAACCCATACTCTTTCATTCCTTCGGCATTTCCTCCAAACTTTTATACTCCCATCCACCCCTCAAAGGGATCATCATCATCATCATCTAACCATCTCATCTCACTTATCAACTCATCCAACTTCTCATAAATCTGTTTACATCTAGGATGAGCATTATCTCCAATAACAAACATATGCAACTCCGACTTCACCTCAATCCAACTACACCCCGGTTCTTTCTTTAACCCACCAAACCTCATCTTTTTCCTTACCTTCGACACCTCTTCCCACATCCCAACATCCGCATAAATATTCCCTAAAAGCACATACGCACTCGAATCTTGCGGGTCCCACTTCACAAGCCAACTCGCCGCCAACTCACCCACCTCCACATTCCTTTGTAACTTACAAATTCCAAGTAAAGTCCTCCAAATAACATCATCCGCCTCCATAGGCATATCATTTATAACCTTCAACGCCTCCTTCACTTTCCCCGCCCTCCCCAATATATCAACCATACATGAGTAATGTTCTAACTGAGGCTCCAAACCATAGTTAGTAGACATCGAGTTAAAGTAACTCAACCCCTTTTCAACTAACCCCACGTGAGCACACGCGCGAAGAACCGAAACAAAAGTCGCATGGTTTGGCTTCACGTTGTTGACTTTCATTGACTCGAAAACACTTAAAGCTTCCTCTCCAAGCCCATGTTGAGAATACCCACAAATCATCGCGTTCCATGTTACAAAATCTTTATTTAGGGTTTTCTCAAACATCAATCTTGAATCTTGCATGTTGCCACATTTTGAGTACATGTCCACAAGAGTGCTTGAAATGAACACATCGGATTGCATTTCCTGTTTGATGATTTGTGCGTGTATTTGTGTTCCTAGATTGATGGTTGCAAGATTCGCACACGTGTCGAGAACTGTCGCGAATGTGAAGTTGTCGGGTTTGGTTCCTGATTCCAACATTTTTGAAAAGAATCTTTGGGATTCTTCGCTTTGTTCTTGTGTTGAGAACCCTGAAATGATTGCATTCCATGACACCATAGTTTGTTCTTCCATTCTTTCATGGAGTTTCTTTGCATCTTCAATGTTTCCACATTTGGAATACATGTCTACTAGAGCACTTCCAACAAAAGATTCAAAACTCATTCCTGATTTCACAATTCTACCATGAACTTCCATTCCATGTTTTAAAGATTTCAGACTAGAACAACCTTTTAAGACACTACCAAAGGTGAATTCATCGGGTTCAAAACGTGAACTTAGCATTTGAACAAGAAGTTGAAGGGTTTCATGTACGTTTCCGTTTTGTTCATAAGCAGCAATGATTGTGTTCCATGAGACTGCATCTCGTGTTGGCATTTCATCAAACACTTGGTGTGCATCAGCTAAAGCTCCACACTTTCCATACATGTCAAGAATCGCGTTTTGTACACAAACATTGGATAGGAACTTACTTTTGATTGTTAACCCATGTAATTGGAGTCCAAATGTATACGCTTTGATTACAGCACATGCGCTAAAAGCACCAGATAAACTAATGTCATCAAAACCAAGATCAGTGTTTCTCAGGTTATGAAACAGCTGCAATGCTTCAAATCCTTGATTCACACGAGCACAACCTGTGATAATCGCGTTGTATGATTGTAAATTATGGGTTGATAAAGTGTGAAATAGTTTTTTGGAATCAGATAACTGGCCACATTTTGCATACATGTCTAAAGTTGCAGTTCCTACTATGGTATCAGAACCAAAGTCCATCTTTAATGAATGAGCGTGCAATTGAGAACCAAACTGTAAAGCAGATGAGCATGCACATGATCTGAAAAGGCTTGCGTAAGTTGATTGGCTAATTCCTAATCCTTCTTTTTGCATATTCTTGAATAGTTTTAAGCCACTTAAAAACTCATCGTTTTGAACACAACCAGCAATCAAAGCACTCCATGAAACCCAGTTTTTCACAGGCATTTCTTCGAAAAAGGTTATGGATTCCTTCAGTTTCTTACATTTTGCATACATATCTACAGTTGCACTTGCAGCCACCACATCATGAACAAATCCCATACGAATTAAAAGTCCATGAATCTGAACACCTAAATTATAATCCTCCAAACCCAAACTGGCCTTCAGAACCACAGCAAATGTAGTCGCATCCAACCCCACACCCTCCCTTCGGATACGCGTGAAAATTTCAAGGGATTTCCAATAACTTCCATTATGTAAGTACCCTGAAATTAATGTATTCCACGAAACCACATCTCTCTCAGGCATTAAATCAAACATCTCCTGAGCAATATTCAATAGCCCTATCCCTGCATACCCGAAAATCATAGCGTTCCAAGAAACGGTGTCTCTTTGAGGCATTCTATCGAACACTCTGTGAGCATACTCCATGTTGGAACACTTTAAGTACATTTGGATTAAACAATTCGTAACGAAGACAGTGGGTTCGAACCCAGATACAATCATATGAGCATGCGCTTCTTTTCCATGACGAAGGTCCTTTCGATCTGAACATTGTTGGTATATGTGGGAGAATGTTCTTTTCACAGAAGTAGTCAAGGGTTTGGCAACGGTGTGTGTATGGGTAGAGTATTGTTTGGGGAAAAACGGGACAACGAAACTTGCAAAGCAAAGCTGAGAGATGTTGAGTGGCTTGAACATATGAAGTAATTCTTTAGCGCGGTGACCGTTAGGCATTCATCATTATATATTATCCATTTTCCCTACGGTGGGGATTGGGGTTATTTCAGGGTATATATGATCATTCTATACCGGTTATAAAGGAGGTCTGGATTTTCATTCCTTTCCAAGCTTCAGTCGATCTGGGTTTTCATTCCAAACCAAGCTTCAATCGTCTGGTGACAGCGGCGTTGGTATCTGAACAGAGAAAGAAGTTGCGATGATGGTGCGCTTTACTGTTTCTATATCTCTACACAATGAGAGAGAGAGAGAGAGAGAGAGAGAGAGGGGGAGAGATGATGGGTTCTCTATGGCGGTGGTGGTGTGAGCGGTCTGGATTTATACTAGGAGGTGGTGGTGACTGTTCCTTGTGCAGAACGGCGGAGTGAGAGTTGCGTTGCAATAACGGTTGTGTTAGGTCGTGGACTGGTGGGGAGGAGCAGAAGGGGGTGTTTCGTAGTTTTTTTTTTTAAGTTTTTATGATGTTAACCTAAGAGGAATTGTATTGTATTTTGTGCTTAAAGTGTGGCATCTTTTGTTTTTTTTTTTTTTTTTAACAGCAAAATATATTGAATAAAGCAAAACCAGCAGTGGTTGGAATAGCACAGAACCAAAGCAGAAATGATAAATAAAAGAAAAACAAAACAAAAACAAAATATAATGAAGCTAAACTACAAGGCTAACAACACCAAGTATAAAACCTCAGTTGCTATCACTAGAACGTTATCATTGAGGGAAAATTCGCCCACAACACTCATCGAATGAAGTGACCAACCACTGAAGTTTCTCAAATCAAAATCAGGACCCATTGTTCAGCTATCACCCTGAGAGGTTAATTCAACATTCAGGAAAGACCAGGAGTTACATACTTTTGAAGATCCAACAATCTACACATATGCAAACTCGCTACCCCTAGCAAGAAATCGATTGAGGACAAATGTACAAAGACCACATCCACTCTGTGGATTTCATAACAAAGGCAGGTTCATCAGAGCTAAGATTGTTTCAGAACTTCAACTTCTGAAAAGCACAACCAGACTTAAGCGCAATATCATTATGCGATCATAGCTAAGAGACTTGGTATAGCTCATTGACAACCGAAAATTAGGAGGAAAACGTATCTCACAACAACCAAAAAAAAAAAGAAACATACTCACGCCCAAAGGAAATACCCGAACCCAACTCACACACCCATGAACGAAGATACACAAAGGAAGTGCAACTACTTACAGACAACGAACCTACAGAAGACTCCCCATAAGAGCAGAAACACACGCCAAACGATAGTGGCGGCTACACTGTTCCAACCAACCACCAACCACAGTACCGCTTAAATGGGTAAAGTTCACTTGTTAAGTAAGAAGTTTCTCAACCTTTCGTTTCTTGTTACCCACTTGTGCCATATGTATATTCATTTAGGTCGGAGGAATCATAGCATTCATAGCATTGGACACATGTTTTTTGTTGATATATAAGTTTAGCATGTATAGGTTGAAAACTATAGGAAGTGATAGTGTGAAGAGTTTAATAAATTCTATTTTGAGAAGAAAAAAAAATAGTCATAACCAATTACGATATACTTATAATGTGAAGAGTTTAGTAAACCAACTAATCTCTCTCTCTCTCTCTCTGTGTGTGTGTGTGCGTGCGCGCGCTTAGCGAGTGCTTTATAACAAGCCCCCTAGTGAGAGCTAGGGGGTGGTGTTCCTTTTCCTAGAGAGCTTCTAGTGATGGTGGTAGCGACTCCACTCCCCTTATATCAAAATGCACATTAGAAGATATAGATTTTCAGGTGTCAATTCATTCCTCAATCTTCACCTTCTATTATTTTCTTTTTAGCCATTTGTACCATATGTATATTAACTTCTACTAAATTGTTGCGGTTGGGAGAGAAGGAAATAACAAAAGAGTGATGAATGACGTGACTAAGCGGGTTGGGGTTGGGAGGGATGGACACCATCCACCCTTACATCCTACCTTACTTGCTCTTGTGGTAACAAATCAAAATATTCAAGCTCTTGTATCACGTCACGTTAGACCGTTTTCAATCTTTAGTATTATCTTTTACATCTATCTTAGACATCTTCAACCTTTCACGTTATTTTTTACACTAAACTTAGTGTAAAAAACAATAGAAACACTTAATTCTCTCCAACTCATTACACTATTATACTTAACAATAAAAAGAATATTCAAGATAATATCATATTTTATCCAACTTTTATAATATAAAATATACTGTTGATGAATATTACATTAAATTTAATGTAATACTATTCAACAACATTACATAATAGTTAAGTTTAATATGGGGTTAAAGTATTTGTGTAAACTTTGGATATAAAAGTGAATAATAAGGTAGGATTACAGGCGCCCTTAACCCTACTTTTTGGTCTCCACAATGCCTTACACATAAGACAATACTCACACGTTCAATGTGTTACAAACTCTGTTGTGCTTGTATTTAGTAAAAAACTAGAACATCCAACTGTCACACCATGAACAATGAAAATTCGACACTTTAAAAGTCATTTGATGACAGAAGACTTGGTGTCTGTCTTTCGGAAAACAAGTAGGGACCACATCCAACAAGGTGCAACGAACACACAAAAACTAAAGACATGAACAAATCAAACAAAACCACACATTTTGAAGTAATTGGGAGCTGATAAAAACTCAACACCCGCACATTGCTTCACAACAGAAAATACTCATGTTCTTCTCACAAACAAATCATCTCCTACCAAACGTTTTTTTAAACCATTCCGACATCATCATATCATCATATCAATAATCCAAAAATCCACAACACAAAACCCTTTTCAAATTAAACAAAAGCATTCAAATTTTATAGACTCTTCTCTATTCAAAAGCATCATCATCATCATCTGGAAGTGGCTGGCTTGCAGCTGCAGCAAGCTCTGCCTCATGCCTGCAAAAACCAAGTTTCAAAACATCATTCATCACTCATTCCACACCAAACACAACTTAATCAGAAAGAATTTAACAAATAAAAAATTAAAACAAAAGCATAACAAAGTCTTACTGTTGTTGAGCAGCAATGTCAATTTGCACCTCTGGTGGAGCTAGAGCAGGAGACTCAACAAAATGCAAGTTGGGGTCACTAAAAACAACAACAATTAAAGATTATATCAAAACATGCAACATTTTTTACTTAAAAATAAAGTCAAACATATTCAAAGTAGCAAATAAGTATGCATTACCCAGCAAGTTTCCTAGCAAGATAAAGGAAAGGCTTCTCAAAGTTGTAATTACTCTTGGCTGAGATTTCATAATACTGCAAGTTCTTCTTTCTGTGAAAAGTAACTTGTTTTGCTTTCACTTGACGATTCTTCACATCAACTTTGTTTCCACATAGCACAATTGGGATGTTCTCACAAACACTATAAAAATCCATATAACAATACATCAAGAAACAATAAAGATTCATGATTAAAAAAAATACGCAAGAAATAAATATCACAAAGCTTACCGGCAAAGATCACGATGCCATGTGGGAACATTCTTGTAAGTCAACCTTGCAGTGACATCAAACATGATGATGGCACATTGACCATGAATGCTGAAACATCATTCAAATAGGTTAGTAAATAAGCTTATTGTCGTAGTTAATAAAGGGCATTTTAGACATTTGATAAAAAAAAAAAAAAAAGAATGGCTGATAGATACTTACTAATAACCATCACGAAGACCACCAAATTTCTCCTGTCCAGCTGTGTCCCAGCAGTAAAATCGAATCTTTCCACAGTTGGTGAAGAAATCCAAGGGGTGAACTTCAACACCAATGGTTGCTATATGAAAGAAAAAAAAATTATTAATTACTAGAGTTGAAATGATAAACTTTGATAGATAAGAGAATGCACTTTTATGATTACTTACGTTCATATTTCTTCTCGAATTCTCCAGTTAAATGTCTCTTCACGAAGGTGGTTTTTCCTACATGATTCAAACAATGACGATTTAAGATCATGGCAACAGAAAAAAGCATCTACTGCTATAGAGAGTTCTCTATGTGAGCTAGTTGTCGGTTTCATAAAGATTCAAATTGATTTCTAACGTGAAACTGTATGTAAACACAACAGATATAAACTCTTAATGGAAAATTAACCATCAGTCGAAAATAAAACCTAGAAAAAAATGTTTGTGGCAATAAAGACCTAGAAAATATCCAATAAGTAACATAATACATGATATTAACTGTCAAAACTGTTCTTTCCTCAAATATGCTGCAATTTATGTTTCGTTTTTTCAAGAAAAGTGGTTTATTTCATTATTTGTATAGCAAATGCAAATACATTCCAACACACAAGATCACTGATTTGTTTCTTTTTTGCAGCACAGTGGTTTATTTCATTATTTCTAAAGTTGAAACGTTCTATACAGGGTATTTATGTCCTAAATGTATTTTTCACATATAAGCTGTATAAACCGTAACCCTAACCCCTAACATAAAATGAAGATCGTACTAAAATAACAAAACCTTGTTAACACAAGATCAATATAATAATCCTAAACAAATTAACTTTCACAAAACAAATTCAGATAAGTAGCAATAACAAAAATAAATCATGAATTTCTACCAGTTCCACCATCGCCGACAATTACAAGCTTGAAACTCGGGTAATCAACGGTTTGCTGATTCGGCAACGCCTACAACACAAAACCCATAAAATTAAACGTTTTCGATCAACCAATACAAATTCGTCGGTTTTCATCGAGAAAATAAAAACGACTACGAAATAGATCGATTAAAACAAACGAATAACAGCAGATCTAAGAAGAAAAAGAACATACCATTATGAAGGGTGTTTATAGTTCCAGAAGAGGGGAAGAGAGGCGGAGTAGAGCAAGTGTGAGGGTTGTTATAGTAAGAGGCTGAGATTCTGCGTTGAGTGAGAGACCCTAAATTCAGAGAATACGCACAAATAAATATTCACCGAAATTTGGTCTTTAATGTTAGCTTTAAGCTGACGCGTTCATCTTCACCGTTGGATCAAATGCCTTTTATGCGTACCGTTGATTGGATGATCATGTGCAAGTCACGTGATTATTGAAAATTGTTTTGAATTTTGAAACCCTAACTTTGAATTTTGTCACACCACCACATGATATGTTATTATCTTTTTAAAACAATAATAATAGTAATGAATATTATAATTACTTCATTTATTATGAACCAAATTATTTGATCATAAATTATAAAATAAATAGAGTAAAATTCGGATTATTCTTTCTTTTGTTTAACTTTATATAGGTTTCGTTCCTCCGAACATAAAAATACTATTTTACTCTTAATGATTTCTTTTTTATTTTTCTTTTATTTGTTTATCAATTTTAAATAATAATAATAACTATATGAGGAACCCCGTTTTACGGGGTATGGATTTGTAATAATGGGGAATTAAGGGTGACTGAAATTTTCAGACGTAAGATGTATCGTTTAATGTGGCAATGTATTGAACTAAGTGTTTTTTATATATGTGAGTAATTTTGAGTGAATACAGAGATTGTATCATAACAATTTTTAACATAATACATAAAGAAGATAGAAAGGATTACATAGTTAGCATAACATTGATCAAACATGTTCCCTCATTTTAATTTAAATTTTTAAGTACAAATTGGTTACTATTGTTATAAGCTTAAGTTCTACACCACTACCCTACGTTAAAACACACAAGTTTTTGTGCATTAGTAAGTGATTTGCTTCATCGTCAAATCCTCATTTGCTTTGAAAAATAACACATACCCTGCAAAGAAAAAAAATACAAAATGAAAGGAATAGAATGACCAATTCCATTCCACGTTTCCAACATGGAAAGAAGTAATTTTTTTTATTCTATTCCTTAGTCAATTCTATCACACCAAACTATAAATTGAAAAATAAAGTTGACCATAACAAAAATATTTAGGAAATACAAAAGTTTTGGTTTCGTTTTGGATATGTGGGAATAGTAGGTACTTTCATTTTAGAACAACCCATAACATGAAATAAATTGTTATACTAGCAATTATAGTGTGATATAACATAAAATTTTAATAAAATAACTGATTTTTTAGGCATACAATACATAAAGAGGGTATCAAGAAACTTAAATATGTTTGCACCACCAGCTACCCGATGTTTACCTCCACTCAGACAACATTCAAACTGTTCAAATAGCAAATCGTTTTCGTAAAAGTCACGCAATAGAATAAAATATAAATAGGGCTCATTTGGAATGTTCGTGACCTCATTACTAGTTGCTCCATTTGATGTTTCCTGATTAGTAGAATCTACCTAAATGAAATCTATAAGTTAGATTTGTACACTTTAATTTATAGCATTAGCATCACACTTGGTACATGAATTGTGACATCCCCATTTTTACGGCCAGAAAAGACCGATTTGTTTATGCTTTGTTTTATAAAATAAGAGTAATCTTTTAAAGAAAATGGTTGCGGAATTTGTTCCCAAAACAAGATAAGATAATAACTTATCAAAACATTTCTCAAAGAGAATGTATTTTCATTTAATAATAAAACCTCGGGATGTCATGTTCCGATACAGACATATAAGCATAAACAGAACTTACATTTAATTACACAATTGATTTATATCTCCTTTAAATTTCTCTGTGAAATATGTCTTCGTATTAATACATGTGATATAAAGAAAACTGAGTGGGTCAGGCTTGGGAGCCTGGTGAGCATATAGGGTTTTCATCCCACAACGTTATATCATATATTTATAAATATAGAACATTCAAACTTGTACAATTTCACCATATAAAGGCAACTCTTATCCCACCCATCGATCCTCACAACGACACGATCTAAACTCTCGTATCTAAAATTTTCCTCTTTACCTGATCCCTACTCACGGATCTAAAACTAACCTTTTTCACCTGATCCATACTCACGGATCTAAAACTAACCTCCTGATCTGATCCATACTCCCGGATCAATAATTGTACCCAATCCATACTCCCGGAATAAGGACAATTAACTATACCCTAATCCTGATCTGATCCATACTCCCGGATCAATAACTGTACCCAATCCATACTCTCGGAATAAGGACAATTAATTATACCCTAATATTGATCTGATCCATACTCCCGGATCAATAATTGTACCCAATCCATACTCCCGGACTAGGGACAATTAACTTAGTCTTAATCCATACTCCCGGACTAATAACAAGTTTTATCTCTTTACCTGATCCATACTCCCGGATCTAAAACTAACCTCTTGGTCTAACCATACTCGCTGAATAACTAGATCAATAATAACAACATCGGGGCCTCTCATTTGTTTATCACACATCAACTATCTACCCGTGTTCTACCCAATATATTAGTAGATAAAAATATATATTTTTATACATAGTTTAAAACCTGTATAACATTCTCATTCAATACCTATTCCACATAACAGATGAGGCACACCCACATAACACGTATTTCATAGAGAATAAATCAGATCTATGAGATAGAAGAAAGTAAATATACATTCACGCATATAACAACAAAATATACACATAACACGTATTTTATATTAAATACTTAATAATTATGCGTTAGAAGAAAGTAACCACACACTCACTTTATTATAAGATGATCGGACAGCACTACGACTTGTAGAAGTAGTATTCTTCGGTAGATCTATAAGATCTTCACAAAAACCGGGCTCCTCGCGGGCAGAGCTTCGGCTCGGGAATCGCACTTCTCGGGATCTTCGGGGTCTCGGAACTTGCTTCGGGGCTCGGGAATGATATCGGGGCTTCGGGATGTTTCTTGCACGAAAAACGATGCAAAACGCGAGAAAACAGAAAGAAATGAGCAAACTACTCGGCTGCCCTCGACACCCTTTTATAGGGGCTGGAAGGCCAATTTACGCGGGGCGTAACCTGGATAAGCCCGGTGACTCCCCCCTTAGATAATATTGAAAATTTATATTTAAATAAAATATCGAAAATATTAATAAACTTCAAAAATTCATATCTTCCTCATACGAACTCCGTTTTCGACGTTCTTTATATCCGCGCGTAGGTGAGACTACGATCTACAACTTTCAATTAGACTCCGTCGGCTATTTTTGACTTTATTTTTATTATTTATTTTTAGTAGGCCGGGACATGAAAACTCCGTTATAAAATCATAACTTCTTTATCCGACGTCCGTTTTCGCCTATCTTTTTATCTTTTTACTCCTATTAACGAGACCTTCGATTCTCATTTAGATTGTTTTGGCTAAAAACCGCTCGGTCTCAAATCGAGCATTTGGGCTGCATACCGCTTAGTCGAAACTTCGAAAAATCATAACTTCCTCATACGAAGTCAGATTTGAGCGTTCTTTTTATGCACACTCATGGTTTAACGTATTCTACGACTTTCATTTAGATTGCTAAGGCTAAATATTGCTCTAACGTAAATTCACTTTTTACGTTGCGCTGTGTCGTGCCGGTTCTGTCGCAAAACTTCGACATGTCATAACTTCTTAGTTATAACTCGGATTTCGGCGTTCTTTATATGCACGGAAACCTTGTAACATATAATATAACTTAATTAAGATTATTCCTTCAAAATAATCTTCCATCAAAAAAGTCAATTTACTTAAAATGTTAAGAATATAAAAGTAATTACAAGATAATTAACCAAAATTTTATTTGATTCCATGTCTGCAATAAAAGTTTGCTCCAAAGGATTCCGAAATCAACACCAGAAGGCCTAGAAAAAAGAGAATAAATATAGACCATATAATGTGATTTTTAAGTAATAACCCTCATTATACTGAAAAAAGGACTTACCTCAACTTCAAGCAACTGTTGTACCGACCCTTTTTTTTTGTCCAAAATTTTCATTTTTAATTAAACACCTTGCAAAACATTTGAAAATAAACAACATTCGATCATATCGTTTCTTAAATACTGTTACATGTCTAAAAACCAATACATGGAATCAACCATAGTGTCAGAGTACAAATCCCAGAACAATATCATAATGCGGAAACAAGGGGTGTATATGATGTGCCGCTACCGTGCGAGCTCCTTCCCCTTCGCTGAAGAGGTACCTGAAACCAAAACTCTAAATTGTAAGCATGAAGCTTAGTGAGTTACCCCTTAATACCACATACCATACAATCATATAATGAACAGCTAAGAGATACGGGCCTTACCCACACTCATGGAGATACGGGCCTCGCCCACACTCCGCTAACTAGGAGATACGGGTCTCGCCCACACTCCACTATCTAGGATATTCGCCCACACTCCGCTATCTGGGAGATACGGGCCTTGCCCACACTTCTCTACTAAACCATAACATATAAGTATCACACAGATAACAAGTATAAACAATTCTACCACACTAACATATATCATCATCAAACTCAACTATGAGATACAGGATTTGTCCACACTCCGATACTATCATATCGTCTATACGGGCCGACCTTGGTGCCTTAGACCCGTTCCTACTGGTAGGAAACTCACCTCGAAGAGTAGCTACCAAAAGTCTGGCTGCCGGACGTCTGACTGCTGCACCGGAAATCCTTCGGCTACAAATCCATAAACATAGATTAGCCACTCATAAATACCCTCAGATCAAATGACTGACCTACCCCTGGTCCAAGGTCAACTCCTTGGTAAAAGTCAAGTTCCAGTTGACTGGACTCGCCGAGTCATGGCACAGACTCGCCGAGTCATGGCACAGACTCGTCGAGTCCTTCTCTTACTAACATGGTCCTACACGCCAAGTCCCTCTTCCCACTCACTGAGTCACCCTTAACTCACTACTTGGGACTATAGAACCGACTCGCGATCCAACTCACCGATTCCAAGAACAACTCGCCGAGTTTAAAGAACAACTGTCGAGTTCCAGGCAATATTCATATGACTCGCCGAGTTGTTCATCCAACTCATCGAGCCTAAGGCCACCTTCATAGAACTCACCGAGTTCCACTTTGGGACTCGCCGAGTCCCTATGA